AATTTTCAATTGTATTCAAAAAAGTTGATGTCCGGCTTTACATTTACCAAAGCCGTTGTTTCATCTATCACTACTTTGCTTGTCGCTGGTACCGAGCGTTTCATCAAGGGCCGACTTTTGGGGGCCGTCGGCTCCATGAGACGCTTCACTGTCGCAAGTAACCGATGCATCAGCTCGAACTGCAAGTGAAAGAAGTATCGTTAACAATGTCGCTTAGAAATACGTTTTCTTCCTAGGCATGGATTTCGTTTACATCGAGTCACGGTGATCCGTAAATATTTTATGTTTCTCATTTGATGGTTCGTGGGTGGAGTGATTGGATTTAAACTTGAAATGACAATGAAATTATTAGAAAGATAATTATGTATTGCATTTTCATTTGCATTTTTAAGACTATTGGAGGGAAAAGTCAAAGGCGTATTTACGTAACAGCTAATAACAATTTAGAATTATTAATAACAATGTTTGACGAACGGAATTATTAAATTTAGTATATATACACTATAAAGATAATGATAAAATTAATGAAATTTTAGACAATTTCTAAAACCGTAATAAAATATACAGGTGAAACAACGAGTGATTGTACAACTAATCAGTTTTACCTCGGACGTTTACGCATACATAGAATTTTATTCAATCAATCACTGTTAATACATATAATAATACATAATTATAATATTAATATAACTAAACGATAATGTATGGAATAATGTACATTGGATTATTAGACTTGAACTGTTTTACTAATGTGTCATTAATCTCGTCAGCTGCTGGCACTATTATAATATTTTAATATTAACGAAGCTTAAGATTTCATTATCATTAATTATAAAGTTCTTGATTGTGAAATTTAGATAACTTGCTTTATGTCACTTGGCATTTATAAGGAATCTTTTTAAAAGTGATTGTCGTCACCTAAATTGAAGTGCAAGTACCTCTCTAACGGTAACTAAAATTATCAGGTCGTTCAGAACTCATGCTTAGTTTAATTCATGACGTGCATTTTTCCTAGTGAATTTGTACAATTAAAATAATTGTCTCTTGCAAGAGCATATAATGACATCAAAATTAACTAAGTAGACAAACACAGAGTATAAAGGCATAAACAGTGTTTTTTTTTCTTTCCATTTTTCTTTTTTTTTTTCTTTTTTGCTAACGATATTATCTAAATTGAGTGCTATAATTTTCTAAGTCTTGTAAAAATTATGAATAAAAATGTCTTTTAACGAAGGATTAATGTACTTATTAATTTGTGTGTGCGAGAGAGCGCGCGCACGTGTTGTAATTTTCATTATTTTTTCATTACAATGTAAACTATTTATATTTATCTAACTTTTACAAGGAACTATTCGCATCATGTTGATATAAAACCAACAACAATAACTATATTATTACCAATAATAATAATAATAATAATAGTATATTTATGCTTATATACTGTAATGCATAAAAATTAATAAACCGCGTGTTTGCTATGATTAGGCATGTAAATTTCGTTAACGAATATTAGAGCGACGAATTATTCGTCATCGAACTTTACTCTCGCTCAATCATTTCGATAGGTTTCGATTACTTTTCAAAACGTTCGTAAGAGAACAATTTTGAAACGAATTTCAAAATATTTCAACGATTATAAGAAGCCCGTGAATTATATATTAAAAGAATTCGACGTTCGACATTCTTTGATCCATTATACGCTTAGAGGTGAGCAATAAGGACAATTCGACGTGTAATCGAGGAAGCGTCGGCTATCAAAGGACCCTACCGACGTCATCGATCCATCGTCGATGATGGAGAGAGGATCGCTCACCTTGTCGGCAGCCTCCTCGGCCTCCAGGGTTTCGCGCAGCTCCTTCTTGAAGCCCTCGTGCTCGCATTCGAGGACGATATGCCGCGGCAGACTGTCGAGCTCGGAGCTCAGCTGCTCATAGATGTCCTCGAGTGCCTGAGTCATCATCAAGGGCTCCAGCTTGACAGGGTTCTGCGGCACACAGCTCTCGTACGCGTCCTCGACGATGATGCGCACCTGGAGGGCCGGCTGCGAGGTGATGAGTTCGCGCAACGCCTCGTTGATCAGCTGATCGCTGTACTTCTCCATGTGCTTCGCCCGCTGCTCCTCCCGCTCGATCTCCATCTGCGAGCCCACCAAGCCTCACCAATTACGTTCGCCTTGTCCGAGTCGTTCGATATTACGGGGACACGGTCTTATTTGGGCCCGCCAGCTGGCATTTGCCCCTAAATGGGTCCCGCATCCTTAAACTCGAGGAACGCGCGTCGATGTACTATCAGGGCATGGAGAAACATCGACGCGAATCAGCTACGCGTAATAGCTAGTGCTTTTGGCAAGTGGACGATTCTCGAGAATATGCGCTCTAGGAGGGGTATGGCTAGCTTTACGGATAATCGAGTAGTCGAGGCATTAGGGCGAGGCTTTAAGCTCAACAAACGTCGAGGCCGTTACATTAATTATTCATCTTACAAGCTTAATGTCTCGTGTCATTGATCTAAGACTTTAAGCCTCTCTGCTCGCGTCGAGTCGTCGAGTCCTCGAGCCTTGCAATCAAGCACATACGTTTGTACTTGAGAGTGTAGGTGTGATAAATAAATCTCTTCGATTCTCTTGCTTCGTATCATTCGGCTAAAGTGGCATTATTCGTCCAGTAACTTAAGGCAAGCAACGAATAACGACCGTTGACCTAAAGATACTTTCCAGTTGAGAAATTCGTTTCTCTAAAATGGCCGCAAGAGTGGCATAATTACGGCGAGTTGATTAGGGTGGGTAAGGGCGGCGGCGGGTACGAGGCTCCGTCGACACAGATAGCGACCGAGTGTGCCGTGCCGTCCGTCACGTTCTGAATGGCTGGGAACTCGGTGGGAGGAAAAAAAAAAGGCCGCTCTCGTAGCGAAAGTGAGGGAAAAGGGAAGGCAAAGCCTAGAGGACGCTCACCTGGAGGTACACTATGTCGTTGAGGATATAATTGATTTCGAGCTTTACGTCCTTCTCGGCAACGCTGACCTTCGCGATCATGTCGGTTACCGGGTTGCCAAGGGATTCGAGGTGAATCAGGGCGTTAAGGTTCTGCAACTCGATCTCGCGGAAGGTTTCCAGTATGTCTTCGGCGCTCATCAGCCCGAGCTCCATCGGGTTCTTGAAATGGGATTTCGAGAGCTCTTGCTCATCCTTCTCGAACATCTCTGCAACAATAGCCGAACAAACGAAACGATTATAAGGCATCTTTCTCTCTCTCTCTCTCACACACACACACACACACACACGCTCTCTCTCTCACTCTCTCTCTCTCTCTCACACTCTCTCTCTCTCTCTCTCTCTCTCTCTCTCTCTCTCTCTCTATTTTGCGTGTAGCTGACGTTTTAAGTACCGGCACGGTCACTTACAATCTGGGCACCCATTATCGTCCGAGGTGCTAAAGATCGGTGATTTTGCGAGAAAGGAGAACGCGCTTGCTTTTGTTGCTTGGGTTTCCAGATTTTATACACCATATGATCATAAAATCAGTGCACTCGAACGATCAAGAAGTTCAATGCAAACAATTTGTTATGTTAATTGGCAAAAAGAGAAGAAAATGTACCGGCGATAACCGTTGTATCAATAACTTGTTAAAACTGACTTTATAATGAATTTTGAAATTTCATCGATTAATCGTTACTGCTTTTGGATAGTGAATTTATTTTTATGAATAGATAAGTCTTATTCGTTAAATCTTTGATTCAATTCTTTAATTACACGACGTAAATACGCCCTCGGCGACATTTACAATATTATCACAAAAAATACATCACTGAATAATCATCGCTATACTTAATGCACAGTTTATATACTATATTGAATAAAAATTTATATCATAATGTATTGATAGAAGCTTAATAGAAGCAAAAAAATTGTTTTTCTTAATTGCTTCGCATTTATGATCCACTATATGTATTTGTATCTACTCACCATGCGTCTATGGTAAATTATTGTATGAAATCACTACAATACATATTAACGTTTAAACGATATGTTTACTGAATCCAGTCATACATACATACATACGTATATATATATTTTTTTTTAATTCAATCCAAATTGATGGATTTTATAATTATTCAATATCGCCAACTTGTTCTTAAAATTATTAACAACGGTTAGCCAAATAAATAAGAGATATCAATACTGAATTCAGCAGTACCATGACGAATGCAATGAAATCGGAATTTTGGCATTTGAATTCTAAAGAAAATGATCGGTTATTTCGGTTATTCAGTCGGCGGAATCGTTCATCACCGATGAGGGAGTCGAGGGAGGTGGTTTTGCCATAGTTGCTATCGATGGACTTGGACTTCAAGGAGTAGGTGTCATCGGGACGCTCGTCCACGGTCGGATTCTCATTTGTGCGCGGCGAGATGAGATGCAGGAAACGAAGGCAAGCCTTGACCGTGCGCCAGGTCTCCTCCCACTGATAGACCTCGATCCGGGCCTTGCCGCAGAGGTGCGAGAGCTCGTCCCGACGGACAGTTAGCTGCTCGGTGAACTTAATCTCGGCGCTTGCCATATCCATGGCGCGCATACTCTTCTCGTGGTCTTCGGCCAGGAAGAGCTCTAGGATTCTCACGCACTCGTTGTACTGCTTCTGCATTGGGTATTAGTCATTGATTTAGACGGCGATGATTCTCCGGGCGCTGCGGGCTCGTGGCCCCCGGCTATTCAGCCAAACACTTACCTTGCACGACCGATATTTCATCCGCTCCAAGGCAAGTTTCTGATCCAGCAGGATGCAGCCGTCGCGCTTCTTCCCGCTTAGCAATCGCATCTTGCAGAGCAGTCTTATATCTTGCACGTAGCGAAGCCTCGAAAAGGAGGTTCCCGCACTCCTGGTGGATATTTTTTTCATTAAGTTGTCAATAATCTCGCTTTCGGACTCTTTAGCAGCCTTCGCCTTTTCCGCGGCCAAGTACCCACAGAGCTGAAATATTAGATTCGTCGAGATGGATGAATGGAATTTTGTCAGCCGCCAAAGCTTGCGAGCTTTGACACATTGGTAGGTTGTATTTAGAAAATGACGTTTTAATAGTTTCTTTCGCGCGGTATTCGCGCATTATTATTAAAAAGAAACACACACGCGCGCGCGCGCACACACAAAAATACACAAATTCCATTTCGTTTCCAGGTACGGTGTAATTTATTGGTAATAATTACACTTATGTACACTATTATTCTACAATCTGCTGCTCCGTAGAATACGCGCACTCTTAATTATTAGGAAAAAATTCGTTCGTAGGAAATTCGTGTGTAGAGAAATAAAGCAAAAACTAATAAGAGCATTAAGAAATTATTTAAAACCTTCGTATGGTCTAAATCAGTTAAAATGAAGTATTTTTTCGTCAGGTTGAGGCTTATAGTTAAATTATACGTTATGTCGATACTTTCTTCTCATTGACATTAATCATTATGTTAAATATTATGTTATAAAAATAGTTAATAGTGCTCGTACGATGGTACAGTTAAAAATAATTGAAACCATAATACGAATAAAGTGGAGGTGAGATTTTTCGTTTATCGTGAAAGCGAAATTAACTGATGCGAACGTAAAGTTTGCCATACTCTTAGTAAATAAATCAACTTTATACGTAAATACTTACTTCTTTGCGAGATTTTTTCTTGACTTTGGGGCGTTTTTCCGATGCTCTTAGGTAATGCCAATAAGACAATAATAGCGCATCCTCCGGTACCTTGAATGGATTGTTTTCCTTCTTCGAGGACTTTCTGGATTATAGTTTAGCAAATATAATCACTCAAATCACAGTCATTATAAATCATTTTATGTGGCAGCTACTCAAAGAGTAACGAATTATGGGTACACGATTATCGTCAAATGGAATTGCGAAGAATGTAAATATTGATTTACATTGAAGTACCATATTGCGTGCAGGTATTACGTAATATTTTCACGATTGAACGTAGCCATGGAATATCATCTCGGATGCGTTAAAATAATCGCGACCATTCCTGCAGTTTTGATTCGATACACGTAATAAAATACAGAGTGAAATAAAATAAAAAGAAAAAAGAATGAACGAATTGTTTCGATATCCAACTTTAATATCTAATTTCATTTCTCTTCTGCTTTTTAACACCCGAGTTTTCGTTCATTCTCTTGATCATTCGATTCAATGTACGCAATACTCTTAATATTTTTAATTTTCATAATAAACTGCACGCAATTAATAAAAATATTTCCTTTTCATTATCATAAGAGATTCTTTCAAGTGTTTAATGATTTTCTTTTTATTCTTTTTTTTTATTTATTATTTTATTTATTTATTTATTATTAATATTATTATTATTATTATTATTATTATTATTATTATTATTATTATTAGATGATATTTATTTGCTAATGAATAATATTGTAAGAGCTAAATCAAAACAATATTAATTAAAGGACATTTTTATTGCTATGAAATATGTAAGAAACTATTTCATCGACGATGGTATTACTATGAGTTATATTGTAATTTTCATTGCAGATGTTTTAATCAAGGAGCCTAGTAAATTAATAAACATAAAAGCTTAAAGTTGACAATATCCACGGCTTTATTAATTTTCATGTTACCCAACCAAAAACTAAAAATCGCACCACGTGATGCAATAACGTATGCAATTACATAGAGAATCCATGACGAATGTATAATCGCGTATGACTACGAGTCTAACTGAATCAATGAGTTGAAAAATCTTGACGGAAGTGTCAGGGAAATTCAAGAAGAGAAGGATTCGAAAGTCGCGAGCCAATAGAGGTTAAATCTCAGCGTCTCTTACCTGTGGCCCTTGCCGGGGGCCATGTTGAGGCAGAGGAAGATAAAGGCTTACGTAGACCCACTCCAACTCACTATAGCCTATTAGGGACGTAGGGATCCGCTGATAGGATTGTCTATCGAGCTCGCTCCGAGCTTGAACGCAGAGCCCCGGGTGTTCGCGATCGACCGGAGTCCGCGCAAGTTTGTTTCGTTGCCATGGACCGAAGGGAGCCACCATTATCATCACTGTGACTCGCCCTTCCTTTCACCGGCATTAGGAGCGGGATTTTCTTTCTAATGAAACGAGAGATTGGGGAGTTGGGTGGCCGGGACTCGGCAGGATCGTTCGATTTTACTTTCGAAAGGGGTTCGTTATTTCTCTGGGCATTGGCCCAGCTTGACAGCAGTTATGGGAAAAGCTCCGAGAGTCTGTGTACGAGAGCTGCAAATCTTACTGCAAATCCTACTATACGAAATGACGATAATTAAGGGATCTTCCTCGAACTGAACTATATATATATATATATATATATATATATATATATATATTAAAATAGCTGTTAGATTTGTGAGTCGAATGATGATACGTGAAAGCAATCAAGTCCAACTTTGAGAATGTATTGGGCAGGGGGTTAAAGGGAAAGTAAGGAGCTTTGATTCTATCAATAAAACATACTGGAAATGAATATCTATGTGAGTTTGCGAGTTTATGCGCATGCGTAAGCGCCTACACTCATGCACACACACGCGCGCGATCATACCAAGGCTCCTCTCATTTACTTTAAAAGAAACTAAATTGAATTTGCTAAAATACGCTACTTTTATCCAGACTTTCCAAGCTACTGTAACCCCCGATATATTCTTATCCTTCTTTGCCTATACTCATTTATTTACTTACCATCATACCAAGTGTGTTCGCACTCATGTTCATTCATTCATATACAAAAACATTATTTATTATATTTGTAAATGTTCACCAAAAGAATGATTCTGTTTCAAAAGATTATTCGATAAGTAAGGTAATAACCATTCTAAAAACAATTTACTTCTTTACTTATTAATCGATAATTAATGCAACAATGATTTTACTTAAATATTTAGACTTTTCGAAAAGAAATACGATTCACTTCTAAATTCTAATACTGATATGAACAATGTATGTATTGAGTATATTATTTTATATTGTTTTCAAGTTCCTCACATAATTCTAAATACAGTAATGCTAACCTGTAGTATCTCATTTTTACTAGTTTAAAAAATTCAGATATAAATACTTAAAAATTTTTAATCAAATAACAAAATTAGGAAATATATAATAATAATATTTACATCCTAAATATAGACATCAATAGTTGTTGAATTAATGAAATGAAACGTAACGAAGTATACGACGATTATTCATGTATCTATTTATCAATATCGCTGAATTTAAGTAACTAAGAAACAAAAATACAGAAACATAATGCAAATACAATTTTTTTTTTTTTTTTTGTTTAAATAAAGAACATACATATAGTTACTATTAATATAATATAAAATATGAATTATTACATTGAGAGAATTTGTTAATATTAAAACTTTGAAATTTGTACAACCAAAATTCATAGTAAAAATTTTTAAATACGTAAATATACGAAAAAGTAAATAAAACATTAAAAAAAAAATCTCGTTAGAAACGAATAAGAAAAAGTTGGCAAAAAGTCAACGTTACGCGGGGTTCCCAAGCGGTCACCCATCCAAGTACTAACCGCGCCCAATGCTGCTTAACTTTGGTGATCGGACGAGAACCAGTGCTTTACAGCATGGTATGAACGTTAACACTAACACTATTAAGGAATAAGGATAAAAGGTGAAAAGTACTTTCAATTTTTCCACGCAACACTATCGCATTCCCATGTATTGGTTGCTCCGCATTTTGTTCCAATTACCAGCCACCGTTTGGTGTGGTTGTGGGTAGTTTTGATGTGATAGGTATGGGTGAGGTGGTAGTTCGAGTAGATGGGAATGTGATATTGTGATCGTTAACGTTCATACCATGCTGTAAAGCACTGGTTCTCGTCCGATCACCAAAGTTAAGCAGCATTGGGCGCGGTTAGTACTTGGATGGGTGACCGCTTGGGAACCCCGCGTAACGTTGACTTTTTGCCAACTTTTTCTTATTCTTTATTGTACAACTTTATCCATTTTGTCAGGTTGTTCGACTTCTTTCGTGCTATAATTTGCAACCACTCGCTATTTCTTTCAGTGTATACTATAAAACGATTTTATTTATTTTAAAAGATTATTTTCCGTAGGAGAGGAATTAAACTTTAATATAAAAATTTGAAATTTTCCTCAACTTACCGCCCCAAATTATGTATATGCGGCTTTTTTTTATTATTTTCTTAGAAATAGTTAGTTGTCTAATATCTGTCAGCAATTCATTACCTTCGGTCTGCTGATTAAATATTTCGTCGTAATTATCATTCCCTCGAGATTTATTATTTTATTATTGATGATAAATTTTTGCCATTAATGTCTGGGTCTACGGAATATTTATTCTTAATTCTTACGTTTGTCAATTTTCTCTCCATTTGGTAAATATCTGCATTATCTGCCGTCTAAATTCTAGGCGACTCGCAAGATTTTTATTGTTTATTGACAAATTTATGCTCCATAATTAATTCAATGCATTTGGTACTCCTTGACTTTCAAGTATGTTTAATATTATTGTTTATAATATATCGTTTTATCAGCGAAAAGCTAGTTAGTTATCGATATAAGTTAGTTTTATTAAAGTAAACTTGAAGTGTTCCAACTATTTTTGTTAATAAATGTTTGCGCAGCGTCGAATGAGCTATTGTCGTCTTATTACGAGTCATTGCGTCCATTGCCAATTATATCTGTCGATACAACTTTGAGCGTCGATGGACCATTGTACCATTTTACTAATATTTATAGTTATTTTTTGAAAAATTTCAAATTAGTATACTTTGCTTTTAACATATTGCCTAGCGTAATTTTCCTACTTCGTATATCGTTTCCATTATAATTTTCAACTTGATCGAAACGGAAATTATAAAAATGATAAAATATAGATAATGAAATAATGGGAAATTATATAGTGCTAATTAGATTTGTTATGAAATACACTTATTCTGTACATTTTTGCCTTCGATGATGAAACATAAACAATATTTATATACAATTTAAGCTACGACTTTATAGTACATAGTAGCGATAGAGTGATAGAGTAGTGTACATAGTACATAGTAGTGATATAATGGACCTGACCGAGTACGAAAACCTTTGGTTTTAAGTTTCAACGATGACCGACGCGAAGCAGTAGCTGTGCTTCTCACGATGACGAAGTCTTTATTGTCAAATAAAAATACTCGGTACATAGAAAAGAACATAGTTTAAATACTATTTTTATATAATTTTAATTGTACATTGAAATGGAAATTTTACATGAATAAGAAATAGGTTCGCGTGATAGATAGGGAAAATTCTTATTGCAAAGCTGTAAGAGTTCATGTACATTTCGTGTAATTGTTAGACGAAGTGAATTATTGAGTAATCGCCTTTTTTTTTTTTTAAATAAGTTTTTGAAATTCTCTTCAACATGCTATGTGCTATTCTTATTAAAAACACTTGTATTAATTGTCTCCCAATCACCTCTTGTTTATTTCTCATTTATATGTATATTTAGGCATCGTTTAAAGCATCGAAAACTCGAGAAAAGAACTGCGTACCGACAGTCGAGCACTACGCGACGAAGCTGTTGCGCTTGTTTTCGTCGCCTGCGCGTCTTCGCCAATCCCTGGCAAGCATTTTTGATTATTCGCTGAGCTGATGCTCTCGACTAGTATTTCCCCAATGACGATGACGATAACGGCGACGACCACGACCACGACGACGACGACGACGACGACGACGACGACGACGACGTCCACGACGACGATCACGACGCCCCAAGTCTCTTTAAATGCAATAAAGAATTACGAGCTGTCATTTCGCGCCTTTCGTATGTCACTCTCGTTATTATAAGTCGGTCCTTGTTGCCCGTTTTATAAATCGATCACGCGTCTCACTTTATAATATGTTCGAGGGCACAAATAGAAATAAACAAATAGAAATTTTAACATTAATAAGATGTTGAATATACGTTTATCCAGGAATTTTGTTGGAAGGGGAATGTCGGTCGTCTCGATAATTTATAGCAGATTTGAAAGAAAGTTACAAGTACCTCGTGCCGACTATGCTATTGTTATTATTTATCCGCATGCGGCTAATGCTATAGCAGGGCATAGGATTACCAATAATAACTATGCCGGAGTAAAAGAAATGCCAAAATTAAACATGGGAAACAAGAGTTTAAATGTGATTTCGTAAGCGTGACGTTTTTCCCTTAAATATTCCGCGATAAAGTTCTCGCAAAATTTTATTAAGACCTATCGTCTGGTCATGTATACTCTCGCGCCATAGTAATCAGGCGGAACGTATGTAAACTCGTATTTAAACTCATGCTCATTTTTGCGTAGCATGTTCGATTACTGCAGGTAGCTCAGGTTCCGAGGTTCCGACGGCGGGTCCTATTTGATTCAGATACAACAAGACGAATTTTTTTCCCGGTTTTGATCGTCGACAAAATAAAACTTGTAGTTCACGATTGCTACATTTCGATGATACGTAACGTAATTACTCGTGGAGAGATACAACCACGTATAAACAAAATTTAATAATACTATAAATAATATAAAATCTCACTGAAACAGTTTATCCTTCCGTTTATTGAAAATATCGGTCACTAATCGAATAGCTGAAATACAAATATTTATCAAACCCTTTAATAATATTATGTGTAAGTAAATTATTATTGATTATTACAGGGATAACTCGTCGAGATTTCAAACTTGTAAAAATTACTCTATTAAGTGCATGTCCGTAGTAATTAGATATAAAAAAAAAAAATAAAGAGAGAGAAAGAGAGAGAGAGAGAGAGAGAGAGAGAGAGAATAATAGTAGAAGTGTCGCTCGATGAAATAGCGCGAGGTAAGAAAAGA